CAAGATAGGATTTGGGTACCTAAAACGGGGGGAATAAGAGATCTTCTGATAGAAGAAGCTCAAAAAACCATGTACTCGATTCATCCCGGCAGCACAAAAATGTATAGGGATCTGAAACCCTACTACTGGTGGCCGACGATGAAGCTCGATGTTGCAAAGTATGTGGCCGAATGCGTAAGATGTGCGAGAGTTAAGGCACAACATCAGAAACCGTATGGGAGTTTAGAACCTTTACCTGTACCCATGGATAAGTGGGAAGACATCACCATGGATTTTGTCACTAAATTGCCCAGAACGAAGGACGGTCACGACATGATTTGGGTGGTCGTTGATCGGTTCACTAAGAGTGCACACTTCATAGCAGCCAATGAAAGATGGTCTATGGATAAGCTTGCTAATGCTTGCATGAAGGAAATAGTAAGACTTCACGGAGTTCCTTTAACGATTGTATCAGATCATGATAGTTGTTTCACGTCAAGGTTCTGGAGAAGTCTACAAGTGGAATTGGGTACAAAATTGTGTTTAAGTACAGCTTACCATCCGTAGACCGATGGTCAGAGCGAAAGAGAACGATTCAAACACTTGAAGATATGCTAAGAGCGTGTACCCTGGAGTTTCAAGGTAACTGGGATGAACATATGCCTCTGGTAGAATTTTCCTACAACAATAGTTACCATTCGAGCATCAAGATGGCACCTTAACAAGCCTTATATGGACAAAAGTGTCGTACGCCGTCTTGTTGGCTTGAAGCCGCAGAAAAGCAGTTTATGGGCCCCGAGATAGTCCATCAGACTGCTGAAAAGCGGAAAGTAATTAGGGAAAGGATGTTAGCAGCTCAGGATCGTCAGAAGAGCTATGCTGATAAGAAGAGATGACCGATGACATTCGAAGTTGGGGATTCAGTTTTGCTCAAAGTTTCGCCGTGGAAGGGACTTATAAGATTTGGGAAACGAGGAAAGTTGAGTCCAAGGTTTATTGGACCGTTCAAAGTTCTTCAAAGGATTGGGAACCAAGCTTACAAGCTAGAACTACCAGAAGAACTAGAGGGTATTCATAACACATTCCATGTGTGTTATTTGAGGAAGTTCACGGGAGAAGTTCCCGACATAATTCCAATTTCAGAGTAAAGGATAGATGAGAATAAGAAGCTAATAGAAGAGCCCGAGGCAATTGTTGACCATAAGACGAAGAAGTTGCGATGCATGATGGTCGACTTAGTGCTTGTGCGATGGAAACATTCGAATGGGCCAAATCTCACCTGGGAAACGGAGAGTGACATGATGAGTCGCTATCCGCATTTGTTTGCTAATGCATGATTCCGAGGACGGAATCATCCTAAGGGGGAAAGAATTGTAACGCCCATGTTTCTGGGCTAAGCATTAATGACGATGTAATAGTCTAGGTCAACCATTGTAACCCATTTTAAAGTAATAAAGATGAATTACTTGAATATTATGTGAATTATGTGCTTTTGTGTGCTTGTTACTTGTTTATAATAATATAATAAATAACGGATAAAAATAAGCGTCAAAAATAAAATGTTAGATGAACCCGATATCTACGAATAAAATTGTAGTGGTCGTAACAAGGATTCCAAACATATAAAGAACGCCGAAATCCGAGTTGTGACGAAGAAGTTATGGCCGGTCGAAGTTTCGCGACAGAACCGGCACGACACTGCGTGACGTAAATAGTGAATTTACAATAGAGGAATTTTAAGCCCTAGCAATTTGAACGAAATTCGTAGTGTTCATTAAACCGAGAGCGTGCATAAAAAGAACACCCAAATCTGACTTCATATGAGGAAGTTATGATTTTTCTAAGTTTCGGATCATCAGTGCACAACCCGAAGTTCGAATATTAGATCGGTCGATTTTTGGCCGACACAACCTAAACGAGAATCAAAGATCTCGTTAATAGTAGCGCAACGGTAAAAAGACAGACGAAAACGGACGTCGGATGAAGAAATTATGGGTTTTTAACGGACTAATCTTGTCCCGGTCTGTTAAAGAATATAAATTTAAAATTGGTCGAGAATTAGCCGACGAACTCTAAACAAAAAGTTGTAGATTACAGTCCTGCCTACGCGTTGATATAAAGAACATCGAAAACGGAGCTCGTATGCAAAAGTTACGAATTTTAGAAGTCAAGTATGTTATTTTGCAAAGCTGTTCCGAGAAACGATGACGTGGCACGATCCCAGCCGTTGCTTGTTGCCCAAGTCCTCGATTCGGATGATGACACCTGTTTCAAGGGTTACGCCCGGTGTAATCCGAGAACGCCCAGCGTAACCGAAGGACGCCTTGCATGCGAAGTACGCCCCGCGTCCGAACCCGATACGCCCAACAGTCTAACTTTCCTCGGTCCACATTGAGCCACAATGATCCACCGAAGCTGCGACACGTCTTGTACGAACGAGCCAATACACCCAGCATAGGTCTGAGGTATGCCCAGCGTACTGAGGCCTCGCAGGCTATAAAAAGGCAGCGAGGCCAACCTCATTTCTCAGAACTTTCAACCTTTTCTTTCTCTCTCTACACTCTCTCTCTAGCCCCTAATCCACCCGAAGCCTAGGAAACCTCCCTAGCATTAGAATAAAGCCTCGAAGTGCCCGAAGGCTATGAGAAAAAGAGTTTTTCGGTTTGAAATTCTACCCGCGCACAACCCGGTTTTCAAGCAAACTTCCCGGTTTCGTCAAAGAAGATTATTTTAAGAAGCGAAGTGTTGTCCGAATCACTCCGTATCAGGTGAGTGTGTGGTTACTTTCATCTTACACATAGATATGAAGTATTTTATATAAATTATGTGCTATGTGTATATATATGATCTGTCTATTTGGGATCTATGCTGGATGGAAGATCTGAACCTCTTTCTTCTCAGATCTGAACTTTTTCTTTCAGATCTAAACTTTTATTCCAGATCTGAACCCTTTTCCTTCATATCTAGGCTTTCTCACTTCATATCTAAACTTTTCAGATCTAAACTATATATGTATGTTTTATACTTTGAGATCTACGCTGTATGAAAGATTTAAATTTTGTTTTTTCCAGATCTGAACTGTACATGTATTTTATGTCTACAAATATGTTAGGTAAAACATGGGTAGATGAAATAGTTGGTGTGTGGTGAAATAAAATGATGAGAGGCCTCAATGTTGATGTTGATCCAGTCATCTAGCGGAGTATGGATGACGACCACAAACTTTTCTAGGAAGTCTAGTGGAACGCTAGCAGGCTCGCAACCTGTAGGTGTTTGTGAACGATGTGTTCACCGGTATACTCCATCCTCCCATGGTTGCCTTACAGACACATATGGCTAAGGAATCCCCATAGCAGTAGTGTCCATCCCGATAAAATTCCTTAGGATAGGTCCCTTATGATAGATGTTTTAGGGACGTAAGGTGAGGATAACGGGAACGGGTAATCGGGTTTAATGATTGTTGAAAATAATAAACTTATTTATTGTGGGTTGAAAACCCTATATGCTCACCATGCTCCCCAGCCCAACCCACTCAGTTTCTTGTATTACAGGTAGTGGAAAAAGCATAGTTGGATGACTCGACGAGATATTATGGATTTTAGGCCAGTAGAAAATAAATGGAATGTTGTAAGGCCTATGTTGTTTGGATGCCAGATTGTGTTTTGTGGCTATGATATTTTTGTTTTATGCTTATGATCTGTATCGATGATTGACATCCCGAGTTTTTGTAATGTAATGAAAATACATTTCTTTAAGGAATGCTTTGATAAATTTTTATCATATTTTGTTTTGGGAACAAATTTCGCAACACTTTTCTTAAGAAGTTACTCTGATTTTTATTAAAAATCATAAACGAAATCGGTCTTTTCTGGCCGTAAAAATGGGGATGTCACATGCATGCAGTAGCCATGGATGGCAACAATCAGATCTTGCCTATTAGGTATGGAATTTTTCTCAAAAGAGACTATGAATTCTTGGACATGGTTTCTTGAAAAACTGCAAGAATGCATTGGTGATGTGGAAGGTCTGACAATGGTCACAGATAGAGCACCCGTAATTGCTATAAGTATTCAAAATGTTTTTCCAAATGCTCAACATGTATTGTGTGGTTTTCATCTAATAGGAAACATAGTCCACACCTTTGGAAAAAACAAAAAAACAACAATTTTGTTTTGGAAGCTGGTAAGAGCTTGCAAGACCACTGAGTTTTAATTCTATCGGGGGAGACTTCGTAATATAAGAGATGATGTAGCGACATATCTCAGTAAAATTCCATGTGAGAAATGGACCAGAGCGTATTTCCCTACCACGAGGTATGATTATATGACCTCAAATAGTGTGGAGTCCATGAATGTTGTATCAAATAAAGCAAGGAAGTTGCCTATATTACCACTTCTTGAGTTCTTTCGTGCACTTATGCAGAAATGGTTTTACAAACGGCGGATGGCTGCAGGTATGATTATGTTTAATTTTAAATTATATGATAAATGTCATATATAATAATATATGTTTGTTTTAACAGTAAAAAGTACAGCAATACTTACAAAGTGGGCTGAAGATATGGTTAAAAAAAATAAAGAGGGGATTCAAGGATGGCCGGTATCCGGTGTTGACAATACAACATATCAAGTGCATGACTTCGAAAGTGGTGGCATAGTGAATTTGAGGGAAAAGACTTGTTCTTGCAAATATTGGCAACTAACTGGTTTGCCATGTGGTCATGTGATAATGGTTTTAACGCACTTGAAAAATGATCATTGTAGGCATATGGCTATAGATGCTTATAAAATTGAAACATATCGAAGAACGTACGAGCATGCCGTATACCCTCTTTCAGAACTTAGTGATTGGGAGGTTCCGGATGACCGTATGGCTGTTAACCCTCCTGTGATGGAAATACGTCAAGCCGGTAGACCAAAAAAGACCAATCGACAATCGTATTCCCTCTCAAGGTGAGGAACCAAAAATAAGGTGTAGTAAATGCCATATCACAACTCATAATGCAAGGACGTGTTAGGAAATCATTCCAAAGAACCAAAGTAAAAGTAAAAAACGTATTGGGACGTCAGGAAGTGGGACAAAAGCGACATAAGAGGAACCGAAGCAAGCGACCGAAAACCAATGGCAACATGAGCCAGAGAACCAATGGACGCAACATACCGAACATCAATGGCATCATCAGCCAGACAACCAATGGACACAACAGACCGAACATCAATGGCAGCAGCAGCTAGACAACCAATGGACACAACAGACGAAATATCAATGGCAGCAGCAGCCAGGCAACCAATGGACACAACAGACCGAACATCAATGGCAACAGGAGCCACAGAACCAATGGACGCAAGGGACCGAATACCAACCGCGGGAAGAGCCACAGAACCAATGGCAGGGTTGCACCGAGTACCAATGGCAACAAGAGCCAGATAACCAATGGACGCAAGCGACAGTAAACCTAGGGACACAAGCAATAGAAAACCCATGGCCGGAATACGAAAACAGATCAAAGTTTCCGTGGTTCGATTTGAATGAATGAAGTTTATTTCAAAGTATGTTTATTATGAAGGTTGTATGTTTATGTTTTCTGAAGTATGTTTTGTAACCTACTTAAAGTGTGTTTATTATTCAGAATACCAGTGTGTGTAATTTTTTAAAAAACATGGAATATTTGTATAATTTTTATTAAACACACATCTTTTTTAAACAGGTAATTAAATAAGAAGCTGTACAACTGCAAAGGAGATCTGGAACAGTCTGAAACGGATAATTTTTATTAAACACACATCATAATGACCTTGCGAGGAGCTTTACCTCAAGTTGTGTACAACTACATAAGGAGCTGTACAACTGCAAAGGAGATCTGGAACAGTCTGAAAGATAAATTTCAAGGAAGTGAGAAGACGAAAATCAATTAAGTCAAACAGTGCTTGGTTGAGCTGAAAGACTTCAGACAAAAAGAAGGTGAAACAATCGAAGTCTACTATGATCGACTGAACGAGTTAATCTATCGTTTTAATCGCTATGGAATTACCAGGACTTCAATGGAATTCAATCTCATCTTTGTGATGGGTCTTCGAAAAGAATGGAGAAGTGTTAGTATGATGGTGAAGAATCAGCAAAGTTTTGATACATCAACTCTCAATGATTTGTACAATCAGTTGAAAACACACGAAACTGAGGTAAATGAAATTGCTGAAGAGACGAAGCTAAATTTGGGAGGTCCAATGACACTTGTGTCAAAGATATCTGAGAAAGAAGCAGAAAATGGTGATTCTGAGGAAGAAGAAGGATTCATCATGAATTCGGATGATGAGGCAATAGCTTTTTACTCGAATAATTGTGTTAAGAAGTTTTTCAAAAAGACGTTCAATCCGGAAACTAAGCTTGCTGAGGTAAAAGGAAGTGTTGTGAGTAAAACTGCTGATGAGGAGAAAAAGAAAGTCGAGAAGAAAGATTCGAAAATGTCTGAAGGAAAGATTGAGAAAAAGCTGAAAGGTGATGCTGGAATAGATTGTCATTATTGCAACGGTGCGAATCATCTTGTGAATGACTGTATGCTTCGAAAGAAGGATGAGAGGAAGAATAAAGTCAAGGATGAGGCGTATTATGCAGAAAGGCTTGAGGAGGTTGGTGCGAAAGCCAAGAATTTGTCACTGGTTGCAAACGGTGAACATGAGGATGAAGATGGAACTTATCAAATCTGGTCATCCGGATCAGACGATGAAGAAATGCGAAATCCGACACATGGAGCGTTGTATGCGAAAATGGAGGAGGACTCGGATGATGAGGAATTCGAGTTGAAAGGACGATGCTTCGTATCCAAAGCGGCAGACAAATCTCCAATGACAACAAAGGTACGTAAAATTCTCAAATCTTTTAATATTCCTACACATGCTTATGATTCTGAACTAATATCTTTTGATGAGACGGTTACTTATTTTCATTCAATTGTTGTGTCTGCTAGCAATGAGGCCAACAAATTGTCCATGGAGTTATTAGAGACCAAAAAGAAATTAGACTTGAAAATAAGCAAAATTGAATGTTTGGAATTACAAATAACAAATATTATGTGTGATAGGGATACTTTAACGAGTGAAGTCAAACTTTTGTTAGCACAAAGAAACATTTATTGTAATTCTGCTAAAAGACTTTATGGCAAATTAACTGATTTACATCATTCAAGTGACATAAGTAAAAAGCAACATAGAAAATTACTACCTTTTCTAGCATTCGAAAGAACTAAGGTAGATAATATTTCGTATGATTGTGAGCAAATAATAGCTGATTTTGACAAAGTTCCTGATGATAGATATAAATATGGAATTGTCAAAATTGATGAATGTCTTGATGCGAATGAATTAGTTAACATCGTGAATGATACTTTGACTAAATCTGAACAAATTCAAATTTTGAAAAAGACTGAGAATTCAACATCTGATTCTCAATCTAATTTTGCTGATATTGAAGATAATTCTGACAATATTAGTGAAATTAGTGAACTTGAAGATGTTGATTGTTCTTAGTTGTCTGTTGTTAATGTTGCATCAACATCTAAAGGAAAAGAAAAAGTTAAGGATGTGATGGTTGAAAATGAAACTGATATACCTTCAACTTCGAAAGTTTGTGATATGAACTTCGTGGATCTCAAAGACAGTCAAACAGATGATAGTGATGATGAAGATGAAGAGAAAATTTCGAAGGAAAAGAAATCTTCAAAGGAAGAAGAAACTCCTCGAATAGTGGTTGATCAAGTGTATGGTGATACACAAAAGTTCGAAAAAGTAATGAATGAAAAAGGTGAACACTATCTTGAAACGAATATAGTGGTTTATCCAAATTTCAAATGTACAGATGATGTTATTTTTCCAAATCAAGTTTTCGTAACTACTGGAAATGTTGAGAATATCAAACCAGAATTCAAGAAGTTAGTTGAGGAGGATAATCCAAAAACAACTGATGAAGGTTTTTTCGCAAATCAAAGCACAGTTGAAAACAACTTAACAAAGAATTCGTATGTGTTCCAACGTCAAAAACCACAAAGAAAATGGGTTGAAAAATCAAATATTGAAAAAGAGAATTCAAAACATGTTGTAAAGGAAAATGAAAAAGTTGTCAAACTAAACTCTAAGGAATTTAAAGATCAAATTGACAAATTTTCGAAGGAAAACAACATTTCAAAAAGACAAGCAAGAAAGAAAATAATTTGGCAAAATATTGAGTCTCAAAAGATGTCTGAATCACAATCACCCAAAAATGTTTTCAAAGCTAAAAATTCCTCTTTTTCAACAAAACCTCAACAGTCATCTCAATCAAATCATTCAAGGTGTGAAGTGAATAAACAACCAAGGTTTTCAAAAGTTTCAGAAACTAACAATTCAAGAACATTTTCAAATAAATCAAATCAAAATCAAAAATTCTTTCAACATCAAAATTTTAAATCAACAGTTGATACATCATATGCTCAATCTTTTCAAACAAATCCAAAAGTTGATTTTGTTCCTGAAAAGCCAAATTTTCCTAATAAAACGAAGAGAGAAACTATGAAAATTTCACGGGAAAAAGGAATGACTTCAAGGAAGAACATTGATCATTGGCTTGAAGGCAAAGGAAAGATGTATCAGTCGAATACATTTTCAAAGGAGCAAATTCACGAAGCATATGAGAAGTATGTGAATACTTCATCCAACGACAGTTCATCTTCTAAGGATTTGAACATATCAGTTAAAGCTTGGAAACCGGTAATAAAAGCAACGATTGTTCATTCACAAACTCAGAATTCGAAGGGTAATGTCAGTGAACATTCGAAACCATCAACAACTTATGTTTCGGTTCCTTTAAATGAAGATGTAAACTTAATTGATAGTCTCAAAACCAAAGTTTGTGATTGGGTTAAAAGTTCTTCATGACATTCGAAATTGAAATCTAATTTCCAAGGACCCAAAAAGCCTTGGGTACCTAAATTTTTCCACTGATTGTAGGTACTATGTGACGAGCAATATGATAACAAGTGGTACATTGATAGTGGTTGCTCTCGTCATATGACTGGGAAGAAGGAGAATTTACGTGATTTTCGAAGTCTCAAAAATGCTGGAGTAGTGAATTTTGGGAACAATCAAAAATGTCAAGTCAAAGGATATGGGAAAATCACGAATGGACAATTCACAATGAATCGAGTTGCATATGTTGAAGGTCTTCAACATAACTTGATAAGTGTTTCTCAACTTGTTGTGGGCACTGGAATTCAAGTTCTTTTTAACGAAGAAGGAAGTGTTATTTCGAATGTCAACACAAAAGAAGTGTTACTGAAATCCAAAAGGAAAGGTGACATGTTCACTTTGGATATCAATCCAATAGTAGGGAAACCTGCTATATGTCTTCTTTCGAAAGCAACAACAGACTTAAGTTGGCTATGGCATCGAAGACTTTCTCATCTCAATTTTCGAAACATCAATAAACTTGTGGTGTAAGATCTGGTAAGAGGTTTACCTGTACTTAAATTTGACAATGATTCTTTATGTGCAGCTTGTGAAGTTGGGAAGCAACATAAACAAGGTCATCCAATTACGATTGATTCGAAAATCGTCGCACCTTTGGAACTCTTACATATTGATTTGTGTGGTCCTTCGACAGTTTCAACTCTCAACAAGAAAAGATGCTTCATTATAAATCTCAAGGATAATCTTACGAAATTTCAAGCTAAAGCAGATGAAGGGATTTTCTTGGGATATTCGCATAATTCAGTCGCATATCGTGTGTTGAATAAAAGAACACGAAAAGTTAAAGAAACTTTTAATCTTACATTTGATGATTACTACATAAAACAAACTTCCTCACAGTTTGAAAATCATCCTATTCTGAAAGACATACAAGATGAATCTGAATCCTCACAAACATTAGATATTGATTATGATTTAATTTTGGGAATTTCAGATCATGCTGTTAATGCTGAAATAAAAGCAAATGATAATCATCTCTCTGAACTAACGAAGCTTACTGATGATTCAACATCAAATTCTCCAGAGAAAGGCGAAAGTATGCAAAACAATCCAGTGGAGGGGGAGCAATTGGATTCGAATACTCTAGTTGAGGAAGAGCATTCTTTCGAGGGGGAGAATGGAAGATTGAATGCAGATGTTGAGGGGGAGCATAATGTTGAGGGGGAGCATTTAGAAAACATTGAGAATAATAATGATTTTGATGATGTTTGTTCGATTGCAGGTTCAGAGAATGATGATATGTACGAAGATGCACCTTCGGAATTTGATCCAGCATATCCGCCAATGGAAAAGTGGACAAGAGATCATCCGAAGGATCAAGTAATTGGGAATCCACAAGAGGGAGTTTTAACAAGAGCTCAAATTCGTGAAAAAAATGAGGTATTAAATACTCATCAAGAATTTTGCATGTTCAATGTTTTCATCTCTAAAATTGAACCAAAAACAGTTAAGAATGCAATGGAACACTCAGATTGGGTTGTTGCAAT